TCCCGCGCCATACATAGTTCAAGCGGTTAGTCGCTGGCTTCCCACCGCGGCGGCCCGGTTTCGATCTCGGGTCTGGTTAAGTGGGATTTGTGGTGGACAAAGTGGCGCTGGGGCAGAATTTCTCCGAGTACTTGGGTTTCCCCTGCCAATCTTCATTCCACCAATTGCTCCACAAGCACCCTCACCTATCATCTGGGGCTGGTACAATAGGCCAGAAGTGGCCGCAGTACAAGGGACTTAGTCCCACCCCACTAGCAATAAAAGGAACTATACCTTAAGTTCCTCAGATGTCAAACTGACATCCAACATTAATTTCCTACAGACCCTGCTACCTTACAGTGCGATATAGTGTTGTTTATGACTTCTTGGAGCTTCAACATTGGCATATGTACCATTATCCACTGCTTGTCATACCTCCCTCCCTCCTACTCCCTCCCTTATCTGTCATATTAATGGTTACAGATGCTGACAATAAATGGCAGTATTAGGTTACACATGTGAATACCGTATACAATGCAGCTTGCATCAAATAATATTAATGACTACGCATGGCACCAACACATGCTAATGTAATAAGAGTTAACAGTTTCCATGTCACATGCGTTTTGTAATCATGCCAAAACAATTACACGCTTATCACAACCATATCGCATTAGCAAACAAACAAATAGGCACATTCGAATTATTGTTCTGATTAATACTACTGTACGTGGATTTTCTGTTGGTACTATGGTGCTCAGTGGAAACTGAACTCCAGCGTCATAATCAGCAGTTCTAACTAACCAAGAAATAACATGAAACAATTAAAGAATATTGTAATATGACGCCCGATAGCTGGAATAGTGATATCAATAGACGTTCATTGCTAGGCAACGACTCGGTAAACACTCCCGCGGCAATGAATACGCTAGCAACAATCGAGTAACTACCGTTGGAATGCAACGGCTCTGTAAACACGCCTTCCCAACAATGTAGAGGCTGTGTTTTCTGCGTGATCCTTGCAATGTTAAAAGAATATTTCAGTAGCGGAGTACTGAGTCGAGTTTCGAGACGCCAGCCTGCCAGGATATAAGCTTGAAAGCAGATGAATTGAATCGAGTTGGCAGTTCCATCGTCAGAATTCTTCAGAGTCTACTTACAACAAAAAAAAAAGAGTTTCGTATTCTTCTAAGATCTGCTGTCATACTCGTACATTATTTCATGACCATATAATAAGCAACCCTAAAATCGTTTCCATCTCAGAATTTCGTACGTCTGTCATGTGGTTATTACTCGTCACAACAAATTAAGAAGTTGAGTGGCATATAATGGTATAAGGTAACTGGTCAGGTGTTTCATGTTTATTGACGAGACAACAGACAGCACAGTGATTGCATAAACCTACTATTTACCCTTTTTTGCAGAAAGGAAAGCTGACTAAAAGTATGCATAGTCCGCTCTATATAAACACAAAAACAAGGTGACGTCAGAGATGGGTGGAGAGGGAAAGAAAGAAGGAAGACAAAAGAAAGGACATTTCTGGTTACCCATGAAAGGTTACGGAAGAACATTTCAGCGCGGCCCCTTCTTTAGTAATCCGGTGTGCAGTAATTTCTAACCGTTACAGCCGTAAAAATCGTTAATTGGATGCTCTGAAATCAGAGAGTTTCACATTCGTTGCCGTTACACCTGACTCATTTCTTGATTAACAGGTTCTTACAGACAATCCAGCCGAGAGAGTAAAAGTGATACAAGTATCCATAATGTTACCGTTAACACAAATTTCCGCCTTCAGCTGCAGCCAGTCTCACGACGGAAGTCTTGAACATTACTGAATACTGCTAAGAGATCTGGTTATACGTTCCACTGTGTGCAACTTAGGCTAATATCCGCTCATCTTCTTCTCTTTATTGTATAGCATTACACGTTTCGGCCTAACCGGCCATCTTCAGGTGTACAAGTTATTGTGATGAAGGAATCTGTTGCTTTGCTATAATGTGTCGCTTTTATTACTCCTAAGATATTTAGGACACCAGTTTCAAATAATAACATAATTACATGCAGAGCCGTGGTAACGTAGTCGGTATAGAGACGGGCTAGGTGCTGGACGACTGAGGGGTCGGAATTCGATTAACAGTAAGGTCAAGGATTTTCTCTTCTCAAAATCGTCCAGACTGGCTCTGGGGTCCACCCAACCTCCTATTCAATGGGTACCGGGAGTTCTTTCCACGGAGGTAAAGCGGAAGAGGCGTGAAGCTGACCACTTACCTCCATCTATTACCAAGGTGAAGAAAATATGGATAAATACATCCACTCCCCCATGTGCCTTCATGGCGTAGTGCTTAATTCGTTGAGCTCAGGGACAACTTTACCTTACATACTTGCATGCTTTCTTTTTCCCACCGCGGCGGCCCGGGTTCGATCCCGAGTCTGGTCGAGTGGGATTTGTGGTGGACAAAGTGGCGCTGGGGCAGGTTTTCTCCGAGTACTTCGGTTTCCCCTGCCAATCTTCATTCCACCAATTGCTCAACAATCACCCTCACCTATCATCTGGGGCTGGTACAATAGGCCAGAAGTCGCCGCAGTACAAGGGACTTAGTCCCACCCCACTTGCAATAAAAAAAATACAAGCTTTCTTAGGGCCTTTACAATTTACATCTTTGGGTACTTGAATCTAATTCCCTGGTCCTACATTCCAGCAACTAAATTAAATTAGGATTCCTATAGCATACAGTGCATCTATTGTACACTGGAATTTTAATTACAAGTATCCTGGTTCTAGCCCTATAGATTATTGGTCATCTAAGTCTTTTCTACTTCACTCTCGTTCTATCTTGTCACCACTTCCCATTTGACTTTATACTTAATCATATACATTCATATTGTGACGATTTAGGGAGTTGTGCGTGACTTACACATGGGTTCAGAACTGAATGATTGGATCTACTGAGACCTCACACATTCAGCTCGGGGCTACATGCCATGGAAGTGGATGCCAACAGCTACACGTCCTAGTCTACGGGTTTCACGCCTCAAAGGGCCGCAACCTGAGAATATGAACAGAAAGGAATAAAGAGGGAGAAGGTAAAGCTGTCCCTGGAACAGGCCTTGAAGGCCCACTGGATTGCGAAAGGTCATGGCTCCCACATTTTCTAGACAATCGGCTCATAGATGGCGGTGAGGTTGTCAGCCTTAGGCGCCGACGCCCTTTACCTCCCACGAAAATTCCTGGTACTCATTTCTGTTGTAGGCTGAGTCGACCCCAGGGCCATATTGCGGCTGGAAGGATTAAGTAATTGAAAATATCCAATGACCGCATCAGGAATCACTTTTCGGCTTGTAGCATAGCGCTTCAACCGACCGCGCCACTGCATACCCCCGCGAACAGAAAGGAATATACTTACTAATTTCGTCTTACACGTAAGATTTGAGGTTTTCACGGCGATGACTATGAAGAAAGCAGTCTTCTGGGATTTGTCGCCGTGTATATTTGGTGCTAACCGACGTAAAGCAAACTTTTTTACCGGTTCTCACGGTCTCTTCGCTTGCGGATTTCTTATATTTTTCCTTCTACCCTGAAGTTGGAGGCGATACGTTCCTCCGAAACGTCGGTTAACACCACATATACACGGTGCCAAATCCCAGAATACTGCTTTCTTTATGTCTTACATGTTCAGTTTCTTGTCTTGGTACTGATATTGTGTTGTATAGACGGAAAAAATCCGACGTTTCGGACGAACATACTAACTCCATCTACACAATAAATTTTATTTGCTACAACTGAGTAAAGAGCATCGAAAGACTTGAACCCCTCGCATCTAGGTTTCGCGGTTAACTGGCGATCTTAGCTTTCTCTGGTTACAATTCCGGTATTACTCAGGGAAGACTGACTGGAAACAATGAGGAATCGTTCCGACAGGATAAGCGGTAACGTCTGTGAGACTCAAAACAAGTACCTCACGGAAACAAATCTACAGCGCTGCAGTTAAAGGACATTGTAGCGGCCTCCGTAGTCTAGAGGTAACGTTTCCACCTCATGACTCGTAGTATGCGGGTTCANGTCGTCGAATTTTTAAGGGCGGAAAAATTCAGGGAACAAGTCCTCCGGGAGGGACTTTAAGCCGTGGGTCCCGTGTCGTAGCTTTACGGCACGTAAAAGAACCTCATATCTCCAAAGGAGGTCACTGAGCCAAATTACGGACGTTTCCCGCCCAACAGCAGTCTCTAATACCTCTGGTAGATGGGGGAAGCATTATAGATACCGCCAAGCTAGTGGAGGCCGAACTCGCGGGCTCGGTCGGGACTGATGGTACGCACAAGTACCGGTAGGATATAGAGAGTGGTAGAAATCATAGAGGAAAGCGCAATGGACCAGTACAGGTCTAAGTCCATGGGGAAACCCACCCTCTCTAATAACTAACTAACTAAAGGACATTGTCGTATATCGCTTTGAAAGTAAATATTTATGAAGAACCCTGCCATAGCTCGGGCAGTTAAGTGTCCGGCTTCTAACCGCTTAGGACCAGGTTCAATTCCTGCTAATGTTCTGTGTGACTGATGGTGAAGAAAGCGGTACTGCGGTATACTCTGAGAATTTCTGTTTCCCCTGTCAATTTTCATTTTACTGACTATTCCACACTCATCTGTCAACAGTGGCTGATACAATAAGTCACCTAGAGGTCGGCGTACCCAGAGGGCTCGCTCTCACCCCATTAACTACGTATCAATATAGTTCTTGAAATATACCTTTATAAAATAAAGCAAAAAAAACTCCGTGGTTTTAGTCCACCAGCGCACTATACTGACCGAGCGACCGCCTCTTGTCGACAAAGTGAGTGCCAACTTTAGCGGATAGAACGTGTCGCGGCAGACCGGAGCCGCTATTTCCTTGAAATAGCTCCTCAGTTATCCTCACGAGGCTGAGTGGACCTCATTCCAGACCCACTACTTCTCAGAAAATCTGGTAGCGCCGGGAATCGAACCTGGGACCTCTCGTTCTGTAGCCAGGCACTCTGACCACTAGACCACAGAGGCGGTCATATTTTTATAAATGTCATGCTATATGAATTACTCATTTTAATCATATTATCTGCCACTAATTTTATTTGAAACTGGAGATCCATACACGTCAGTTTGCCTGTCTATGTTTGGTTGGCGCACTTTGATACTGCGTGGCTGGTTTCCGCTGTGGGAAACTCCAGAACTTCTGTTCAGCTCCGAAGTCCGCAGCCTCGTCTACTGTGTCAGGCAGCTTCTGGTTCAGGGTCTCAGGGAGCAGAGTTCCACACGCAATGCCCAGCAGACACAAGACAATGAGGATGGCGTAAGGATATCTTCTGTCAACGGCTGCTCCCTAGACACACACAGATAACATATGTAATGCTCAGTACGTTCTTACAGACATAACCACGTAGAGCATTTTCTTCTGGGAGTTACATCTTCAGGTGAAGCTGAACTCTACTTGCCTGCCTCACTAATTCTTCGGACACGAGAATGGAGGGTTGTTTATTAACCGACGTTTCTCAGGACTGTACAGATGTACTTCAGAAACGCCAAACACGGCATCCCAGATGATAAAAACATTTTGATGATTGTTTTCTGGGCCGACCAGCCCTTTAATTGGGGATGTAATTTTGTTTCGGAGACCTTCTTTGTCTCCTTCATCAGGAATGATACATCGTATAAACAATGTTGGTAATATATATATAAATAAGCGAGAAAGTGATAAATGGACCATATGTATAGGAGATAGGAGTACTTCATAGAAAATGTTATACTGTTTGGGACATAGAAATCGTAAAATGGATTTGGAAAAGATAGTGAGTGAAAAATTGGGCTGGATCCAAAGGTTTAGGATAGAGAGCGGTGATCATCTCGTGTGAAGAACAGTGAAGTTTCAGATTGCAATAAATCATCAATACCTTGATCACTGTAATGACTAACATCATCTTAAAAAGAATTCGGCCCAGAGGAATTAATTACTTTCGTTAATTATGATACACGTACTCTGCCATTAGTAACTGTACACAAAAATTATAATTCCTCCAGTTAACAGCGCAATGAAATCTCAGTTATTTGTTGCTTATTTTACAACGCTCTCTGTAAATCGAATTATATATTTTCGTACAACGTAACATAATATATTTTCTATTTATAATAGCTCTTCCAGCCTATGCAGTTCCGTAATCATTTTTCAGTCAGTAGAACTCCTTGGATGAGTGATCAGCCTGTTGCAAAGCCTCTACCTAAACACAGGATAACATAAACACAGAATAAACGCACACAGACATCCATGCCTTGAGTGGGATTCGAACCCACGATCCCAGCATTCGAGACACTTCATGCCTTAGACCGCGCGGCTGCTGTGACCAGGTACTTAATATACTAGTATTTTCTGGAATAGACGGAGGTAAACCACGCATAACCTCAGCACAGTTGAGGACAAAATTCGAACAGGGCACTTCTAGAATAAAAATAGAACGCATTGCCACTTGAATCCAACTTACTCGGCAGGAGTTCCTCATTACTTTCCGGTTACACAGTGAAAATACTATATTGTGTCTCAATACATTCAGGGCTTGTTGTTTAGGTGGCCAGATTTGCTATGTGCTGCCACTGTTGTTGGAATAACGTACCAAGTACACGATGTAGGGACTGAATGTTGCGATGAGGGTCGCTAGAAGGACTCCGAGGGAGGTGCCCGTCTGCCGCAGACAAGTGGGGTAGAGCTCCATGCACTGCAGGTAGGCACAGTACGCCGCTACGGTGAGGGAGAACTTGACTATCATAACCAAGGAGATCAGCAGCCACAGAAGTTGCTGGTCTGTCACGGAAAGCAAAAAGATCTTACCAGAGCTGTGACCAAATGTCTGTTGTGTCTATGTCATCATGAGATGGACGCCATTATAAAGTTGATGGAATATATTTCCCAAACACGATGAGAACGAAAATGGCTTAATCGGACAGCTTGTTGAACATGGGGGATTTTTCTTCCGGAAGGTTGCCTACTAAAAAGATGAAATACCCTCCAAGATATTTTAAACAGTTATTAATATCTCAGACGTGTAAGGAGGTGAAATATCATACTGTGAAGGGTATTATATTCTGCCTGTAGTCTGGTAAAAATCTAGAGGAATTTCTTGCGGAAGATCTGCTTCATTCTTCAGGGTCGAAGATGAAGTTAATCAGTTAACAAGCAAGAGCACCACCCTAATTGGTTTGCTTATTATTCGTCGCCGAAAATCGAAGAAATACGTTCTTCTGATATGTCGGTAAACTTTTGGCAAACTTCATGGTGTCATATCTCCTAAAGGTAGTGCTGTTCGTTTTCTCAGTCCTGAGAACCTAAAATCTAACAATAATATTGTAGGCTTGGATATGACAACGTATAGCCTGGTAGATAGAATTTGGGATATATATATATGAGTTTATTTATATAGAAGATATATTAAGAAAAATATGTACAGGCATTTACCTCCATACATGGAAATTACACACTGCCCTAACCCACAGTATTATTGGCTGATGTACAAGGAGAAGGCGGAAGCTATGTCAGTTCATTTAATGCACATAAAGATTTATATTTCTGGTTTTCTTTTGGATCAGGTTATCTATATGTCTAACTTAACTAAACTGGAGAAAGTAAGAAACTAGCTATAAGAAGCAGAATTATTGCTGATAAATTGATAGTCGCTCACTTGTTGCTTGAAAAAATCCTTACCTTGTCCACTAGTTCCTGTCATTGAACCTTATCATGCCCATAAAATGTTTCTGTAAGATATATTTTAAATTTATCTTCATAACTATACAAGTTTATGTCGAGGTTTCCTAAGGGATCTCCCTTTTTTTTTCAGAAATTCAGAATAAAATTTTTGATGCATTGCTTATCTGTGACTAGTAGCAAAGATGCAGTTTCAAAACTATTCAAAAGTCTGATCCCCATTTCTAAAACCCGAAGATTCATTGTGGACTCCATTTTAAATTAAATTAATTCCAGTCCTCATCATGTTCATTTAATATCAATTCAATTCTTTGCTTCACACTTTCACCAAAGTGCCCCAAAATTGTTACAATTCTTGATGCATTTCGACTAAAATTTTGTATCAGGAAACTTCCTGAGGGTTAAAGTCGGCCGGTGGGTAAGGTTGACAACCTCACTGCCAAATGTGAGCCGATTATCTATGAAATGTGGCAGCCTCGACGTCTCACAATCCTATGGGCCTCCATGGCCTGTTACAGGGATACCTCTGCATTCTTTACCCTCTTTAAGAATTTATTGCCTGTGGACAGTGGTGCAGAACCTGACAGTCTCTCAGATACTAAAACATATCTACCCCTTCTTTTGTATGGGCAAGGCATGCAGCATAAATGGAGGAGAAGAGGAATACATATGGATATTGGTAGGAAATCCAGAAGGAAAGAAACCACTTGGAAGATAAAGACTTATTAAAATGGATCTTAGAGAAATAGGATGGGATGATATGGATTGGATTGATGTGGCTCAGGATAGGGAACAGTGAAGGCCTTCTCCAGAAGGTTCTCAAGAAGGACTCAGCTCCATGAGTGAGTGAGGAGATTCTTCCTTTTGTGGAACTCAAAATTCCAACTAAGGGCCCTACCGTAAGACAATTAAATTTTGTCCATACATTCGTAGGATTTTTTTTTTAGATTAACTTCAATATTTTCGTCACATCTTTATCTAAGTGATAACCTTGCTACATTTCTTCTGATCGTCTTACTAAAAATGTATGTATATTTGTAATTTTTGATCAGTGGTGCAAATGCAAACTTCTTCTATCGGTTCGTTACAGGAATCTCTCTAAATTCAAATCTAATTCCTAGAAATCTAGACAATATAATGAGTATACTTACGTGTGACGGTGATCAAACAGCCTATCTGGAAAAATGCTGCAACTGAGTAGGCTCCTGCCTGACTCCAGCGTCTACCGAACCTGTTGCATACAAATCTCCCTAGTAGGAAACCTGGTATTTCTACCAAAGCTTGCAGGAACATGTTCAGAAAGGGATTACCCGACATGGTGGCAATGCTGAGAACCAACGTGTAGTTCAGAAGTTGCACAAGTGTTCTGTGGAAAGTCCATACAATAGAAACTAAATTATTTTCACATAAATTATATTGAAATCAGTCAAATATCACAATTATGTTTTTGAAAGGTAATGGTGGCAGTAATGACGACGGGGTATTCCATCATGTGTACACCTGCAGTTCCTTGATATTAAAAAAAATTTCAGTGTCCTATACTATAATATAATTACATGTACACCCCCATTGCTAGGCAAGGTGTTGGTAAATGAGTTCCCGTGAACACAAATACTTAAATAACAGACACTTACTTGGTTACACAACAATAGAGGAGTCTGTGTTTCTATGTCATCAGCGCCAAGCAACAGCGAAAAAAAAACTGTATTATGCAATCTGTTTCTAAACAACGGTACTGTAAACATATCTACATTAATAGGTGATTTCAGTGGTGTCTGTGAAGAGTGCTTATAAGAGAAGTGAATTTGTATGAAACAAAATAAAACTGCTTATGGAATATGAAAGTGTAAGTCAAAAAGGTTTATTAGTTACCAAATAAAACATTTTGAAATAGAGCTTCATATTCTGTAAGCAGTTTTATTCTGTCTTCTTCTGGTTTGAAAATTGTAGGTCACGGAAACGCCGACAATAATTTAGAATCACATTTTTTTAACACTTACACGCAAGATGAGATGAGTATTGTGATCCTTAGAAGTCTCCGGTTAGTAAAGAGACTCAAAACTCCGTATACTTTCTCCTTTCTTCTTTCTAGTTTTTGCAGTGTTTCCATAGTATTTTCAGGTAAAGATGTTCCGTTCTCTTTGGCAATTTGATTTAAAACCTTCAGGCATTTCCTTGTCTTCCCTTTCGCTACCAGCCATCTTGGAGACTCAGGAAAACATCTGCGCAGAGAACCAGCACATTGCATATGAGAAAACAGATTTCTCATAAACACAGGTTTGGGAGGCGCCAGGAATTTTTATAAGCGTAACAACTAGCAATAAACTTGTTATTTAATTGTTTAACATCATTTCTTTTGAGCTCCTTAGAGAATTCAAGATATAATAATCATGTTTAAATACTAGGCGTGTGACTACTAGATTCTCAGTGAAAGATTTTACCTGAGGACGGGAACAGAATCCAGTCTCCGAAACTTTCTATTTTAAAAAGAAACAGGACGGTTTTTTTTTTTAAATAGATAAGACGATGGATAATGTCCAAAAGCATATTACTTGTAGCAATTTATCATTGTCACAAACTTTTAGATCTTATTTGTTGGTTTATTACGCACAAAACTTGCCTACATCCGGAAACTGACCTGAAGACAAAAAACACAGCAGCGCATGGCAAAGTCGTGAGAACCATGAACACCTTCCAGTGACCTCCCACAGCCCAGGCGACCAGAGGCGTAACAGCCATCCCTAAGGTCCATCCGACGCACTGCAGCAGCGCTATGTGTGCCCTCTGTCGGGCCGACGACACTTCCATCCCTGCGACATACAGCGCTCGATTAGTGGTGCCTATTCGTGTGACGTCAGCCTCTTATTAACATAGACCATATAGCGTAGAAGTTTGGAGCGTTAGTTTGTTTTAAGACGTTGGCATCGTCTACAGAATGAGACTGTAATTTTGGCGGTAGCAGCCATGAATCAGCAACTACTACCTGAGTCAATAGGAACTGTTTTATTTCAGTTGAACACTATGCAAATACTCTATATGGAAATATGATCTGAAATGATTCTATACACAATTTCTATGTCTGTTTCTATCCCTTCTCCCCTTGACGGTCCCTTCATTCCTTACCCCGCAATCCCTCCCCCCAAGCGTCAAGATTAGAGCATCTCACAGTACAGCGTCGAAAAGTAAAATGAACAATGAATTGGAGAGGAATAGGAAGGAGACAGTTGTGGTCTACTTAAGGTATTATCCTATAATTTACCTGGAGGTAATTAGGAAAACGACAAAATATCTCAACCACGTGTTATTATGGAGGTGCAGCGTAGTTGGTTGAGGCACTGTGCTACAAGCCGGAAGGTAGAGGGATCGAATATTCAATTTAGTTAATCCTTCCAGCCGCACTACGGTCCTGGGGTCGACTCAGTCTCTAACAGAAATGAGTACCAGGAATCTTCCTGGGAGTAAAGGGGGGCTGGCGCTTAAGGCTGACAACCTCACCATCTGTGAGCCGATTGTCTGGAAAATGTGGGAGCCTCGACGTCTCACAACCCTATGGGCCTTCAGGGCTTATTGCAGGGATAGTTCCCTTTCCATGTTAGAAATATCCGACGAACTGCTGCACAGCAGCTCTGTGCTAGTCCCTATTCTGCCAGCTCAATCCAGTCCACACCATACAATGACAAAAGGAAGCCACTTACATAAACTAGACCTACACAGAACCGGGATAACGCAGTCGATATAGCGACCCCTTACGGGACGGACGACCGAGGGGTCGGATTTCGAGTCCTGGTAGGCTCTAAGGTCCACCCAGCCTCCTATCCAATGGGTATGGGGGTACTCTTTCCCC